GGGTTTGGGCTTTGGGCAACTTTCCGTAGCATGGTTGAAGTGTGTGGTCCTGTTTCTGGGCAGCCGTTATTTCACCCGGAAGGGGTTTAAAGGTTGAACAGGCTCTAGGCTATCTTTAGCCTGAGACCTGGTCTGTACAGCCGCTAGAGCTATGGGAGTAGATGGTTCACTTAAATAAACATACTGACACCCTAGGATAAACTGATAAATCGGATCATCTACCACAGCAGCGGATACAGTCCCAGTAAAATGCTTGGACTGCACTTCAACTAAACTATAGGCAAAGTCATAGTGGGGGAATTCTTTGTAGCCCCGCGGACTTTAATAGTGTCTTCAGTTAGCTGGCGAGGTTCTACTAGATATGATACAATTAAACTGTCATACTGGAGGCCGGTATCATAGAGACAATCGACTCTCTGTCGGTTGACTGAGATCGCTTCCACCACGTGTGGTGTCCTAGTATTAGGGAAGAGTACACTAGTAGGCTTTTCAGCTGCCACACATGCAGCGTACTGAGGGGCAGGTTTTTTCAGGCATTCTGACGTGTAGTGGGTATTAACCTTGCAATATTTGCTGTATGGATTTCTCCACCCCGACGCTAGTTGCGGCTGGGGGTTTTTGATTTGGATTATGCTGGGGTTTGGGCCCCTTTGCGGCATTTTTAAAATGCTGTACGGGTGTTTTCACTGGAGTTTTTCAAAGGTAGGTTGGGGTTTGGACTTAAAAGATACTTCCTCATGAGCTGCATGATAGCGTTCTGCAAAAGTAATCATGTCGTCTTAGCGTTCAGCCCCATTCTCTGTTAAGAAAGTCTGCATAGGTTTCGACATACACTCCCTCAGTTGCTCAGCCAGCACCATTTCTTCCAGCCCATCGTATGAGTGACCATGACCTCCAAAGTCATCCATTTTGAAAGATAGCTTTGGAGTCTACTCAGCAGTTAGCTAAACGATTCCCCCGCTTGCCGTTGGGCTGTTCGAAACTTATACATAAGCTCCGGAGGTAAGCTCATATCTTCTGAGAAGTGCCTGCTTTAATGCCTCAAAGTCATTTTCCTGACCCCGAGGTAGCTGGTTGTAAATATCATAAGCAACTCCTCGAAGCCCTTGAGAAACCTTAAAGTTCCATTTCTATTTTTCCAGCACGTAGTTCTCAGCGATTTTTTTGAATTTTTCTAAGTAGGTGTCTATTTTATCTGCTTTTTCAACGAAGTGTATCAAGGGAAAGTTCAGGGCCCCCACAAGATTATTCTGAGATGAACCCTCAGGGCTAGGTAAAGAATAGTTGGGAACCGGTGAGGAGAGTGTTAGGGCCTGTTCACGAAGTCTAATTTCATGTTGCCTTTCTTTTTCTCTCTCTGCCCTTTCCTTTTCTTTCTCCGCCTTTTCTTCTTCTGGAATTGAGGCTCTTTCCTTAGCCTCTGCTTCAGCCTTGCAATACTCTCTTTCATCTACCCGGTATTCTTTATCTACATCTTGCATGTACCTTTTTAACTCTTCACCCTCGTACACTCAATTTTCTACAGGGGTAGAATCGCGTCCTATAACTTCTATTATATATATCTAACTTCTGTCCTAAACTATACAGGTAACTAGGGGAGTGTCGGTGGTCATTGCCAGTACTGTCACATCCATACATGGCTACATAGGCATCAGTCATTGATTAAATGACTTCAATTAGTTGTCAAGTGTGGTCATCATCACAAGTTGTCATGTGTGGCCATCATCACAAGTTGTCATGTGTGGCCATCATCATAAGTTGTCATGTGTGGCCATCATCACAGGTTGTCATGTGTGGCCATCATCACAAGTTGTCATGTGTGGCCATCATCACAAGTTGTCATCTGTGGCCATCATCACAAGTTGTCATGTGTGGCCATCATCACAAGCTGCTATGTGTGGCCATCATCACAAGTTGTTATGTGTGGCCATCATCACAAGTTGTTATGTGTGGCCATCATCACAAGCTGTCATGTGTGGCCATCATCACAAGTTGTTACTGTGTGCCATCATCACAAGTTGTTATGTGTGGCCATCATCACAGGTTGTCACAACACAAATGTGACATATCTGGCCCTTGGGGGACCCTCAGTTTGACATTGCTGCTCTATAATACTGAAAAGGTCGAGGGTCATGGAGACTAAGTGCTGTAGTGACTGTTTGGCAGCGGAGTACACCAGCTGTTCCTCCTTGTGAGTCTCTAGGTCCAGCCTTATAGGTGAAAATGGTGTACTTAGGTGGTAAGTCCTCTGACCTGGTAAACCTTTCTACAGTCAAAACCGTTGTGCATGACTGAAAAAGCACATTTTTCATGAGGTGACCCCATTCAGCAAGACCTCGAGGTCCTGAGACAAAACACAAAGGATCTAGAGGAGACAACCTTGATTTTAAAAAAACCAAGCCCAAAGTGGATCTACGTGCTGAGAAGCTAAATGACTGTGGAATAGGCAGTTGTGAGCGTGGACATCTGGTTGGCAGGAGGGGTGGCACCAGGAGTATGGACTCCATAAGGATATCCACGGTCTCTTCCCAAGCAAGCAAGCTCCACTAGAGTGACCGGCTACTTCCTGCTCCATAATAACTTATCATATGGATTTTTTATTTTATAAGAATTGTCACTGGAGCTACGGAGCATGTGCTTTGCGCTTGATGTCATCTTCAGCGAGTGGAAAAGACCAAATGAAGAGGAGAAAATGTGGAAATAGAAGGGCAGGACCCAGGGGGTTTAGGCAAAAAACAGCGTAGCTGGGGCTCAACCACGTAAGAGTGTGTTCCTGGAATTGTCATAGTGCCACACAGAAAAGGCCCATACTAGACAGGTTGATACATGATTATGATGTAATCATGCTTCAGGAGCTGAATGCAGACTAATATCATTGCCCTGTATATTTCAGCTATGTAAACCCTGCTGGACACGGGCGACATGGGCAATGTCTGGTAGTGAAAGAGGGATTGAAACATGTTGTGCTTGACCTGGGTCTTTGGAATCACAATGTTATAGAGGTGCAAGAAATACAGATCGAGATTGGTTGGAACATAAGTGTATATGCTGCTGTAGGCTCATTAGTTGCAAAGCAACAGTGGGACAGGCTGGAAGACCTGGAGGTGATCCCTGGCAACAGGCTCCTTATTTGTGGCAATTTTATTACACAAACAATGAATGGGACAGTACTAGGGAAAACCGACAGGGAGAATATGATTCTTTTCAAATAAAAACGTTCGTGCGTGAATGTACAAATCATACTTGTTAACATATACAAAATTATGTCATGTGTACATTTTCACATTTCTTTCACTTTGTGCAAGCCACATTTCTGGAACATTTCATGGAGCTCCTACAGGCACAGGGCTTCACTAGTTATATCTCTTAAATTAAGATTAACTGTAACCAAAGGAAACCATATTTAAACCAGTCCTACAAAATAAGGATCGCAGCTACAGACACTAGCTACAAATAGCTGAAAAGTCTGAAAGAGATCGAATTATCTTATTTTTTCAAAAGAAGCAAGCAGATTAACTTCTGAACAAGCTCACACACAAAGTTTCTCACACAATTTTTTTCCCCACGTTAAAACAACCAATTCACATTATCTTATGCCACTTACTATATCAATTCCTGTTTCAGTTTAAACTGAACTTGGTCTCTAAATCAGAATCCTTTATATTTACATCCTAAACAAAAGGTCAAAGCAGCTTTCATAGCAGTGGAAATGCTTGGGAGTCTAAATAAATTGAAATTTGTGGCAAACTAAGAGTACTTAACTCTAATATTAAATCAGTACTGGTGTATGGGACAGCAATTTGGAGGATGATTACAACAATTACAGATAGACTATTAAAAAAATCATGAGCTGGTATATGCGCAGAACCAAAGAACTCAACTGTTATGACAGAATCACTAATGGGAAACTCAACCCTTTCATCCTGAAAAACAAAAAAAACTACACTTCCAGCTGGTTCCAATTAACTGTATATGTCACACTTTATGAGACATATAGTTTACACTACCGGTTGAGTTCACATATGCGCAAATGTTTAGGGGGTCAAGATATGTCTACATTAAAAATATCATTGGGGTGGGTGGGGGGTGAAGGTTCTTTGAGCTGTATAGCTTTTTCAAAGCCAAGTTGACGTCAAATATTCCTGTAAGAATCAGTGATAGAGCTCAAGGGGTCATGGCATGAGTTACTGATATATTTGGGTTTATTTATTTCCTTGAGGATGTATTCCATTTAATGCTTTACCCTGTTTGTGTTTACTTGCATATATCTTTACATACTTCAAAACGTAATTTATAAATGTAGATAAACATATTTTTAACAAATTGATTAAAGATCTGTTTTTTAAAAAAAATCTACATTTATCTGAAAATCTAGAGGGGTAATGAACTTTTTTTTTTTTTTTTCAGCATTCCCAGGGCAGAAGGATGAAGGAGAGAATAACATAAGTTGTAGTGAATCAAGAGGTGAGGAAAGGACCCTGGTGTTAGATGCGACACACATTTAGAAAACCAATAATAGTATAAATAAAAAGTCCTTTCTCTAGAAGCCATTGGGCAAAGGAAATTGAGAAAGATGTCATTTAAAAAAAAAAAAACACACATAAAACTCTTTGTAATTGAATGAGTGAAATTGTTCAAACTGCAGAGAAGAATACCGTATATTTCACATTTCAATCAATCAAGGGAGTTCTTTTTTTATCTGGGTTATTGATAGTCTTTATGCGTCTGGGCTTTTCCATCAACCAATAAAAACGTGCCATCTGATTTAAAAAAAAATTTCCACAGTATATATGGAGGAAGCAGAGGGGGCTGGCAAAAGACAGAACAGGATATATTTGCTTGAGCTAACTGGGATCCTGTGCTCCAATGGGGGGGGGGGGGGGGGGCACAAAGGGCTATTGTCTATCAAAATTGAAATTGAAAAACATCACTTGCACAATCTGCAGTGAATGCATTCAATCCTCAACTTTCCCCAATAAACAAATGCCGTAAGAAAGGTTCTATGACAGAAATGTAGTTCTATGTTCCGCCATGTGCAGGTCTAATTCATACTTAAAGTCGAAAGTGCAACCACAGACCCGGCATGCTTTTCTGTGGGTTCTCAAATGATTCTGCAAAATGGCCATCCGGCCAAATGACTTGCCACAGTCAGTACAGGAAAAGGCCTCTCTTCTGAGTGAATGGTCAAGTGGGCTGTAAGATGGCTGCTCCTGAGAAATTTCTGTCCACATTCCCCACAAGCAAATGGCCTGTCCCGCTGCCCAGCTAGAGGCTGGGACAATGGTTTCCTTCTTTGAGTCTTGTCCTGAAAACTGGCCGAGACTGCCGCTAGATGTGCGGTATTTACAAAAATTTGTACGGGCTGAGAAATAGCTTGCAGAGACGGCATTCTTGATCTAGGTATTATAGACATCACCTCAGTGCTGGTTGCGTCATCTGTGAGAACTTTATGCAGGATTAAAGCTTTATTATTTATAGTACTGCTCGAAGACTGAGTTTGACTGACTAGGCTGACTCCAGGCTGCGGTGTATATGAAAGTAAAGAGATCCTGCTATTCAGTCTGCCATTTGTATCTAGAATACTGGACACAGGTAATGTTCCCTTCACACCAATACTGGAAACAGGTAACATTCCCTCCATGCCAATACTGGAATCAGGTAGTTTACCTTCCATATCAATAAAAGAAACAGGTAACTTTTCCACTGTAACAATATTGGAAACAGAGAACTTTTTATTTATACCACCATTGGAAACAGGTAACTTTTCCTCCATACCAATGCTGGAAACATGTAACTTTTCTTCCATACCAGTACTAGAAGGAGGTAACTTTCTCTCTGTAGCACTACTGGAAACATGTACCTTTCCCTCCAAAGCAATACTGGAAACATGTGACTTTTTCTCTGTACCACTCCTGGAAACAGGTAACTTTACCTTCATACCATTACTCAAAGCTGGTAACTTTTTCTCTGTACCACTACTGGAAACAGGTAACTTTACCTTCATTCCATTACTGGAAGCAGGTGACTTTTCTTCCATACCATTACTAGAAGGAGGTAACTTTCTCTCTGTAGCACTACTGGAAACATGTAACTTTACCTTCATACCAATACTCAAAGCTGGTAACTTTTGCTCTGTACCACTACTGGAAACAGGTAATTTTTCCTCCATACCAATACTAGAAACATGCGACTTTCCCTCCATACCAATACTAGAAACATGTGACTTTTTCTCTGTACCACTACTGGAAACAGGTAACTTTACCTTCATACCATTACTGGAAGCAGGTAACTTTTTCTCTGTACCACTACTGGAAACAGGTAACTTCTCCTCCATACCAATACTGGAAACTGTGACTTCTACTGGACCATGCTCCCCACTGGTGTGATGTGAATAATGCTTAGCCAGCTCGGTCTTGTCTTTATAAAACTCATCACACCGAAGACAAATATGAGTTTTCAGGTGACGATTCAACACCGTCCTGCGCACAAAATTTTTCTGACACAACGTGCACTGATAAATATTCCTGGATACATCAATAAAAGAATATTTATTGAACTTGACTCTGTTTGGTTTGGAAACAACTGGGCAGGGAGGCAGTGTGGTGTCTTTTCCTGTCATTTCTGCCCTTATTAGGGCCGCCTGGTTACGGTGACTATACCTGTGCTCAGAGAGGTCGAATTTATCCTCAAAGAACTTACCACAAAACTCGCAAACATGTGTCTTCATATGTCTGGTTAGGGTGGTGGCTCTGGCGTATTCTTTCCAACAAATTTTACAAATATTTGTGACTGAATCCGAACAAGAGAAATTTTCAAAATTATGCCTGTTTGCGTTGAGCATCTCACTGTGTGACAGGGGCACCAAAAAGATGGCATCAATGTCTGCTTGTGACTGCTTGCTTTTGATTTTCCCGCCATTTATCCTTTTGATTTCCGACTTCCTTTTAGAAAACTGTTTTCTGTTAAAACGGTTCCATTTCTTTGACAGACATAACCTGTTTGTTTCAGCTTTAATCTGACTCAAAAGCTGCTTTTCATGGTGGAACTTGTGTGTTGCTAATATTTCTGTATCATTAAAGAAAACATTGCAGAACTCACAAACATGATGTTTTTTCAGGTGGGTGTTCAAACATTTATCTGTGTTAAACACTGTACAACAAAGTGTGCACTTAAAGATATGACTTGTTGCATCTCTTTCTGAATACCTCTCAAATTCTGCATGGTGTGTGTTCATAATGTCTTTAAGATTGTACAGTAAAGGTTTTCTGAAAACATTCAGTTCTTCCAACTCATTCAGATCTGATTCGTCCGAGTCCAAAACATCATTCTCTAATGCTGTCTTGATTCCTGAGTACATTTCATCTGTATCAGATAAACTGGTGTCACTGACATCACTCCCACCCTCTTCATTATCTTCGTGATCACTCCCACAATCTTCATTATCTTCGTGATCACTCCCAGCAAGAGCTAAGTTGACTATTTCATAAAAGTCATTACTATCCAGAATACTCTCATCGTCAGACCCACTATGTTTAGTGACCTCCCTCTTTTCAGCCCACTTAGAGACCCTTTCATCTCCGCTATCACTTACAACCTCAACTTTACCCTCCACATTAAGTACAGAAGACGAGTTGGTTCTTCCAGCTTTTTTCAGCATCAGCTCAGTTTTATCCTCACCCAATGACTTGCCACTAAACAGCATAGTTGGGACATGATCTTTCATGTGGTCCTGTAAACCAGATGCATTCTCGAAGCTCTCATAGCAGAGTGTGCACACAAACTCGTCTACCTCCTCCTCTGGGTATGCAGTAGAACTATGCTCCTCCTGATTGTGTTCCTCAAGTTCAGTCTCTTCACAAAAAAGTATATCACAGATATCACATTTTATTATCCTGCTGTGAATCTTCAGGTGAATTTTCAGTTTGCAGATGCTGGAGAAAGTCCTGTTGCATACACCACATATGTATGAGTCTGCAGACATGCATCTGTGGCTTATCAAGTGCCTGCTGCTGTTGAATCTTCTGTGACAGTCTTTACATTTCAGTTCCTTGATGTCCTCTGATACTTCTTCACCTTTAGCTGATTTCAGTTTTACCACCTGTTGCAACAAATCCTCGGTTCCTGGGAAAATCTTTTTCTGACCAACTGATGAATTTAAGGAACGGTCCTTCCCAGCTCTGTTTAAACCACCTGATGTATGTGACTGTGTGTGCTCTTTCAAACAATGAAAGCTGGCAAAAGATCTGAAACAAACTTTACAAACCAAACTGGAAGATTTACTATGTGATCTTTTATGCAGTTTCAACAACGGTAAACTTTTACAACCTTTCTGGCAGATATCACAGATGAATTTCAAAGTATGAGACCTGATATGTTTTCGGTATTCAAGTACTGAAAGGAAAACCTTCTGACACTGCATGCAGGATAAGGGTTGTCGAATTCCTGCCTGGCTTGTGACTAAAGAGTCCAGACGCTTTTGTTTCTTTCTTATAATCTTCATACTTTCCACGTTTTTACTTTCAAGCAGTGACCGCCGGTGCCGTTGGGTTCTCATGTGTCTCTTTAAAATGCTTGGCCTGGCATAGTTAGTATTGCAAACTTTACAATGAACAGGCTTCTCTTTTGTATGTGTCTGTATGTGTCTTTGGAGATCTCCTTTACTTTTGCAGCGTGCCACACAGTAGGGACAAGCAAACCTGTCAGTGTGAGTTATGAAATGCTGTCGCAAAGTTTGCCTTTTGTTAAAATTTTTAGAACATTGCACACACTGATAACTAGTAATGACCCCATTATCATTAAAGACTGGTTTCATAATCTCAGATTCTATAAACTTCATTCCATTGTTCATTTTCTTCATTAATGATGGATTTACATATCTACAGCCAGAGAAGTTGAATAACTGTGCCATAGACAATTGAGGAATTATTACTTGAGGTGTATATAAATTCCCATCACTGAATCTCAAAATGGGTTTCATTTTACCCACATCAAGGTCATCTCCGACACTAGTAACCACTGTCATATGTTCATTATTATTTGTAGGTTGTTTTAATTGTAAACCTTCAGATATCATTTCTAATTCTTTTTGTGAAGGCTTTCTGTCTTCAGAATCTTCCAAGTTGGAGGTTTCTCTTGAATATGAACTATCATACTCAGATGAATGATAACTCATTTCATATGAATCACCCATTTCCACGTGTTCAACCTTGAAAAAATCTGTTAACTTGAAGTCAGAACTACACCCAGGATCTTCCTTAGAATCACTCCTCTTAAGTGTCTTCAACTTCTCTCCAATTTCTGTAAAATTACAGTCAGGATATTTTCCGTCACCCTTCATGGATTCAATCTTTGAATGTGCCTTTCTGGGATCTCGGTTAGAAAAATCAGGTAAGTAATCTTCTTTATCATTTAACACAGGTGCATCATTATAACTGTCCTCTTGAAAACTGTCTCCTGGTTCTGTCTTTATAGTGACTGACTGACTACCATAATTAGACCCAGACATTGTGGCTGAAGTCTGTGACAGCCAACAAGTTCAAATATCACAAAAAGCCTTACAACATTAAAATATGCAATCTATAATGTCACATGCGATTAACTGCACGTGCAACTACTAATATGCTGTAACCGCTACTTCGATCAACAATGAACTGCATTTCTAGTGTCAGACTGCTGTGTTGGCACTTCTGACTGCTGCCTTATGCATTTAAATGGCACATATGCTATTGGATTTTCTAAGACTGCAATTGGTGTCAATGTTTTTCATAGGAGACAGTGATAAACATTCTGTGTGGTTTTCATTGGCACAGGAACACAGCAACTATGGGGTCACCTGTTTGCAGTGATGTTGAAACTGCGATTACCGGATTACCTAAAATATCCACACTTTTCTGTTCGGGAGAACAGATCATTTGGGATAACAGGTCTGTACCCTACTTTCTTCCGTAAGTTGGAGTGACTCCCATAAAAGATGTAGCTAAATCTGATTCCCTGGAACAAGTCTCGTTATTAAGCTGAAAAATACATAAACAATTAAAAGGTTAGTAGCTTATCCTTTACAGGATGCTGCAGTTATAACTGGGTTATACAGCATAAGGTACTTCAGATAACTGATGTGTGACTGGGTGTTTGCACTGTTCATTTGGTTCTCATAATTTCCTAGAGAACAAACACCATCAGCTCCAAGCAAATTCACCAAACATTTCCTTGTTATCCTTAAATCATATGCTCTCCCCTTAACTCGTCATTAATTCCTCCTAGCTTCCTCTTAACTCCCGCTGTTGAATACCTATTATTTACAGTCGGCTATGACTTATTTTTGTTTTGTCCACTGCAAGACTCGTTTTATTCCATAACTTATGTTCTGCATGCAAATTTGTTCTACAGATCTGGCTTATTTTATGCAGACTGTTGGTTCCTTGCCTCTCAGGTAGATGCACTCTAACTTACTAGGAAACCCCTAATTAGCTGACTCTTATGACATGTTTGTTAGGGAGGCAGTGAGTGTAGTCTTTGTTTGCCCCCACCCTGGAACCAGTAGCACTGCTAGGTCAGGCGATATTAGTGTTGAAAAAAAGTTGTGTCGCCAACCCCCTCCCCACCCCCCCCCCACTTTTTTTTACACAGTCACGCATATTTCAATTTCATGTTAAAGCATTTTTTTGCCATTTTATCACAGAACTGACTGATAGTACACAAGACAGAAGGTTGTGGATAAATATGACTACCAAGGCCATACAGCATGGACTATGAAAGATCATTTGTGTCATTACGAATTGAAAGTACATGAGACAGAAGGTTGTGATTAACCATAACTATATTTTCCACACATGTCCAACCTGCGGGGTGGGCCTCAGGGTAGATGCAAGGAAGTATTCAAGGGGGTGGGGTCAGGAAATTTTGAAAGTGAGTTCATTTTCCTTTCTACGTGTAATAACCTATTTACATTTTGTTTAGTTTGATAACAAATATATTTAAAACCATTTAGTCAACAAAACCACAAGGATATTTTTGTTTTCATGAGGAGTTTGTACTTGTACGACTAAAAATCTAATTAATAAAATAAAAAGGTATTTAATTATAGGTTTAGAACACATTCTGACCAAAATGTATCTCAATACTTTCTGTTTCTCTTGTTGCAGCACCTTTTATATTTATCCTTCTCTTTTTAATCACATTTTAATATCTTGGGGACCGGGGAGGGAAAAGGTGGAGAGAGGGGGGTCCTGAGTATGTTCAAGGAGGGTGTGGGGGTCTTGTCCACCTGAAAAGGGTTGGAGAAGGCGGGGAACAATATTTTTAGTATCGAGGACAATAGTGGGCTCTCCTTCGAACTTCTACACGATATTATGGCGGCCATAAAATATCCTTACGGGGCTCAGGTATATGTAAAATGCGGACTTTCTGCCAAGGAACAAATCGAGGCAAAACTAGGATTACTTGACAATTTCAAGAGACGCAACATTGCAGATGATATTAATTGGAGGACATTGCAGGAGATGAGGTAGCTGCTGCTCGCGGGAGATACGGTCGGCGGTGAGGCATAGTCACAGAAACAGGTCTGCAAGTAATATATCGCTGAGACCCTGTTAGAGCATTTGTTTCGTTATACGGAGCCGACATATTTTTAATAGAACTGAGCCCAGGGTTGCCATATTGGCATTTTTTATGCCAGATTCCACAAATCTGGCATATTTGAAATTGAACTGGCATAAGATAATGAACTGGCATATTCTGGCATATTTGGGGTTTTCCTGGCATTTTTTATCAAGATGTGCTCACATTTTCTTCATGGTTCCTCTGTTAGAGACATGCAAATTTACTAAAAGCAACGAAGACCTACAGTGATGTCCTGGTACTAACTAACAGAGATTTGAGCCATTTCTTATTGTTTTGTTGTCTTCCTAAACGGATCGTGACTGTGATAAACCTCTGTAATTTATGTTAATTTACTAGAATAAATGCGAGATATAAAAACGAAAACCGACCACTGATACCAAGTGATTCAGACTGTTCAGAAACTACTTGAGGACAGAAAATAGATAGAATATAGACCTAGTTCTATCTGTGATAGATTTTATTACTTTTACCAGTGGCCACGTCATCCAAAAAAATGGAAAGCATCTTATGACAGCAATCGCAAGTATAATAGTTATTGGTAGGAAACATACTCATGGCTCAAAAAATCTTCAGACGGATCAGAGGCAGCATATTGTAAACTGTGTCAAGAATCAGTAGCATTTCAATTCATGAAAAATCGGAAAAACACAGGATGAAAACTCCGTCAAAAAGCCACTTATTACAACAATAACTCCTAGGCAAAGTAATGATAAAGGAAGCAGAGTTGCAACTTGCTGTAAGCAATGACCTGCCATTGTGCAATACGCACAATTGATCCTTTAAGTGAAATTATGAGAGCGCATGGTCAGGGGAGTACACTGGAGCACATACAGTTGCACAGAACTAAATGTTTATGCTTAATACAAAATATTATATCGCCTGCACTTAAGGATGACCTTACTGATAATTTTCAGAACAAGAAATATGCCATCATCATAGATGAGTCAACTGACGCTTCCATTTAAAAGTACTTGGGCATTATAGTAAAGTTTTTTCAGTGACAGGAAAAATAAAATATTTACTGGATTTCTTGCTTTAATTTCCTTGCAAGTGGCCACAGGAGAAAACTTATTTAATTTGATTGACAAGGAAATCAAAAGGTGTGGTCAGAGTCTTACAAATTACATAAGGTTTGTGTCAGATAACGCTTCAAACATGGTCCAGAATTAAAGATGTCTCCTTTTTGTGTACAGCTCAGATGTATCTGCCATTCACTAGCACTCTGCATTTGTAGTGCGATTGCCAAGCTGCCATCAAATATTGGTTTTTTACTGTCAGAAATAATTCAGTGGTTTCGCCATAGTGATTTAAGACGAGAAGCCTATAAAGAACTGTTTAGAGTGATGAACACATCTACGGAGTTTGAATCAGAACGAATTGCTCCTCTTCCATTTGAGAAACTGTCATCTACTAGGTGGCTTGTGGGGGGAAAGATTATGTTCAATATGTTAGTGAACTGGGAAGAATTGAAAGCTTATTTCACATGTGCTGAATTAGCACAGACAACGTTTGACACAAAATATAAAGTAAGATTGTTAAAGGAAATGTTGTTAGACCACAATAATTCTTTGTGTTTGCGACACCAATTGTACAAGAATTTGAAAGACTGAACAGTATTTTTCAACAAACAAAAGCTGATCCTCATGAACTACACAAGAATTGTCCATGCACCAGAAAAGTCTTAAGAACAGACTGTATGACGTCAATGAGCAGAAAAAAATAATTATCACGTTGACTTCGGTATAAAATTCCTAGCGGAATGTAATGCATTCCTACAGAAGAATAACGGGACTGAAGTTGAGATAGAAATAAACAATGTTAAAGAAAGAAGCATGTCTGTGCTAGAAGGAGCTCGCGATCAAATTACGTGTAGACCGAGAATATATTTCAAAATCTGACAAAACTGAGCCCTTTGGCAGTTTTAAATCAAGTATCAAGGACACAAAAATCGGAACATGGAATGTTTGTGGTCTTACAAATAAAGAACCAGAAATAGTAGAATTCATGATGAAACATAAGATCGATATAATGGGAATATCAGATTGCAGGAAAAAAGGCAACATAACAAAAGAAATTCATAACAACTATGTCATATTTTGGAGCGGCGTTAAGAAAGAGCAGAGAGCGACTCACGGAGTCGGTTTTATTCTCCATCCGGATATCGCCAAACATGTAAAGAATATAGAATATGTATCTGAAAGGATTATAGTGTTGCAACTCTACGGGAAAACAAGAAATACAAGCATTGTGCAGGTATACGCACCCACTAATGATGGTTACACCTTGGAAGAGAAAGATAACTTCTTTGACTCAGTGTCGGATGTCATCAGTCAGATACACGCAAATGATGATCTTATGGTAATAGGTGACCTAAATGGGCATATAGGGCAGAGGCGAACACCATGGGAGGAATACATGGGGCCACACTCAGACAACAGCAAAGTCTGCAATTACAATGGGCAGCGTATTTTAGAACTTTGTGCAGAGCATGGCCTTTATGTCACCAATAGTTTCTATCAGCATCGACAAAGCCAAATAAACACCTGGTATAAATGGAGCAGCCCAGACCAGGCCGCACAGTTGGACTACATACTAAATCGACAAAAGAGAAGAAGCTTAGTAAAAGACGCAAGAGTAATTCCTAAAATCTCTTTAAATACAGACCATCGACCGCTGATCGTATATCTAAGCGAAGCAACAATTAACAAAAAACCAAAAACATCAGTACGTACCTCAATGATTGACATAAGACACCTAAGCAATCTAGACAACCAAGCAAAAGTACAGGCAGAAATGACGGCGAAGATGGCTGAGCTAATAACATCAAGTGACAATGTGGAATCTGCGTGGCAAAAATTTAAGAACACTCTTCTGAACTGCCTAACA